GCGCCCCGGGCCCCAGCGGCGCGGGGAGAAGGGCTTGTCGGCAGCCCGCCTCCTTGGGCCCCACAGAGCGCAAGCCCTGGGGTCACCGAGGCCCCTTCCCGCCTCGCCCGGGTACCCAGGCTCCTCTCAGGCTTCTAGGAAGAAGGGGATCCCCTGTGACCTCCTCCTGGAGCGCAAGGACTTTGCCTATAAATGACTCCAAGCCCTTGTGTCTATTTCACTGTGTGAGGTGAGGGATTTTCTAAGGCCCTCCTTGGGCCCCACAGAGCGCAAGCCCTGGGGTCACCGAGGCCCCTTCCCGCCTCGCCCGGGTACCCAGGCTCCTCTCAGGCTTCTAGGAAGAAGGGGATCCCCTGTGACCTCCTCCTGGAGCGCAAGGACTTTGCCTATAAATGACTCCAAGCCCTTGTGTCTATTTCACTGTGTGAGGTGAGGGATTTTCTAAGGCCAGCTGCAAGGCGGGGCGGGAGGGAAAGGATGAGCCATGCCCATTCCCCCCGGCTGGGTGAGAAGGAGCTCTGTAGTGTGACTGGCATCCCCTCCTCCCCCACCACCGCAGAATCAGTTCATTAAATACCATCTTGTTTCAGCCAATAAAACTGTGTTTTGGGGAACACACCTACTGATACCATGTGGGCTGGGCCAGTGTTTGACCAATGAGGAGGCTGGAATGTGGTGGGCATGTGGATTGGTTTCTTGAATTGCTGTGCTGAAAGCTAAAATGAGAGATTTCCTAATTTACAGCTGCATAAATGTGACCTTGTTAAAAAAAACCCAACAACTTACAGTTCCATTGTGATATAAACTTGTAGGTGATATAGCCTTGGATAGTCGGTAGAAAATACCTTGAATTGGTTATTACTTTAGCCGCTTTTGAAACATGGTCCTCTGTGAGTTAGACATTCCAATGAAGCTCGTAATTGCCAAGAACCATTGTAAGTAAATGAGAGAGAAATCCTAATTAAGGTCGTTACTTAATGATTTATTGCTGGTTTTTTTCTAATTTAATTACTGAAAAATTGGAAATAAAACCGTTGTACTTGTATATGTTGTCCTGTTAAATGAAAATTAGTTCATCCAGAAATTAAACATTTGATTTTTCAGCTTTATAGGAAGTATTTTTATTTATACTGCAAATACAATCTGAAATTTGTATGTAAAGTGTGTTCTTTGTAATTATCGCTTAGGGTTTTTTGGTTATTGGTGTTGTAAGGACTGATTACCCACATTTATATTTATTTATATATATAAAATTGAAAATCCACATGTATTCAAAATGTTTGCAGTATTTATGTTTTTGATTACTAATAACATACTTCTGTTTGCTTAGTAATTGATGGTTTTTAAAACCTAGGCTCAGTTATGAAAAAAAGCTGTTTAATTCCAAAACTTTATATATAAATCCACTTGTGAATAGACATTAGAGAAACAATAGCTCTGCTCATTGCTGCATGCTTGATGTAGTGTTTGGAACTGAGATTTGTTGACCTAATTCACTTGCTATTTTGTATAGGGTTTTGAAGTTCAGCATATTTTAAACAGGTAATCAGACATAGTTACAACCCATAAATACTCTGTGCCAAAACATAATAAAGTTAAAACTAAGTAAAAACTGGTTTTTGTCTAGATATCTTGGATTTTATGGCATGTTATGTTTCTGACAGTAGGTGACTTCTTTAGTGGATTATTTGGGGGTGTTTTTGTTAAAGTTCCTTTCTCACTGAATGTGTAAAAAGACTTGTAAGGAGATAAAGTTAGACTAGCACTTTCAAATATGACCTCATTCTTGATTTTAATGCAGGCTTCGTAGACTGAAGTTTACTGAATTTTTGGTAATTTTTTTGGGGGGGCAATACTCAGTAGAATCAGTTCAGGTCTGGGTAAGTAATGAGTTTCTTTAATAACTTCTACAAAATTGGGTGTCTTATGGCTATCTTGTACATAAGTGTATTTGTAGCTAGTTATTACACTTGCAGGAGAATAGTATCTTGTAGTGTATTGTAGCACTTATTTCAACATGTTTTATAATGTTCACCAGAAAGCAAAGTAGTTTATAGTAGAAAAGTTTAATTCTGACAGGATCTGAGTTGAGCAAAACAATGAACAATCCTGTTTTTCTGGTTTTATACAGTCTTTAACATTGGTGCTTGGAGATGTTTAGGTGTGTTAAAGGGCATATTGCAAAATGTATCTGGTAACTGCACTAAGTCTTTTAGTATTGATCACTGTTTTTGCTTGCATGTTGTGAAAGAAAATTGACATTTCCCGGTCTCCTGACAAGAAAAAGATGTCAAACTGCAGGTATAATTGCATTCTAAATCCACAAAAGTGAGACATCTAATGTATTGGTATGGTGTCCTTAGAACATGACAGACAGAAGTAAAGAATAGAAATATAAAATTGTCGGGGGGAAGAATCTCACTATAAATGTCAAGTATCAGAGGCGTAGCCATGTTAGGACTCCTCACCGCTTTTATGGATTCAGACTAACAGAAGTGTTGGAGCATAAGCTTTCGTGGGCAAAAATCCACTTTATATGCATCTGACGAAGTGGGTCTTTGCCCACGAAAGCTTATGCTCCAACACTTCTGTTAGTCTGAAATAAATGAAAACTGTTTGCTAGTGAGGATATAGTATCTACTTTGGTGAAGCTCTTGAATTGATTCTGTAATTGTTTGGGGTCTCTAATAAGTAGTTTAACTTTAGTTGCACTAAATGATTTTTGGTGATCAGTTGCGTAGTTTTCTAGTTTGGATCACTTGTGCATAACCAGCTACCCAGCCCCAGCCTCACAGCTCTTTTCAGAAAGATTAAATTATGTGAAATAACCATGTATGTTTTTGCAACTATTTTAGAGCATCCAAACTAGGGATGTTAGATAGTGGGTAATAAAATAGTTGAGTACTACATGGATTCTTATCGGTTAGTTGACTATTCTGTAGTTCCTGGGGGCGGGGCAGGCAGCCAGTACACTCTGGCACCACTCTGAGGAAGCCCCCTGCTATCCTGTGCTGCCACAGAGGCAGTAGTGTGGGGTACCAGGCAGGAGTCGGTCAGCGAGGGGAGCCAGTTTAAACACACACACCCCTGTGCACTGGCTACCTGCCACCCTGTGCTGCTGCCTCTGATACAGAGGAAGCAGTGTGGGGTCCAGCAGTCCGTCTGTGAGGATTCTGTGAGGGTCCAAGCTCCCCGTGGACAAAGGCTGCTGCTGGAGAATGGGGGAAGGGAGGCTGCCACGAAGCAGCCTCTGTCCAGGGTGGGCAGGCCTGGCTGCAGACAGAGACTGGTCCAGCAGCAGCCCGTGTGTGTGTGTGTGTGTGTGAAGGGGGGGGTCCCAGCTGCCCACTGACAGAGGCTGCTGCACCCCCTGTGGATAGGGGCTGCTGCCATGAAGCAGCCTCTGCCCTCGGTGAGCCTGTTTCATGGCAGCCTCCCTTGTCCCTGCTCCTCATGCTATCAGAGGCAGCAGTGAGAGGAGGAAGGGGGCAGGTCGCACCCTGGAACCAGTGCTAGCAGGGAACCAGCTTTTAAGATGGCTCCGCCTAGCACCTGCCCAGGCTCCCCCACCTTCAAGGGGGAGAGTGCAAGTAGTCGAGAAGATTAACGGATAAACCTGGCTTATCAGTTATTCATGTACTCGATTACTTGTTGACATCCCTAATCCAGACTATCCCTAGAAGAGCCTGTTTGGATGTGCTTTTCAATGCAAGGAATTATGAGACTCAGAAAGATAAGATGATATTAAATGATCGTGGAGAGACTTCATAGATAACTTTCTATTTCAACCCCCTTCAGTGGTGGTGTAGTCAAGCAGGTCTTTTTTTTTTTTAGCCAAATCATGCTCCAATCATACACTAAGACAGCGGTTTTCAAAATGTGGGTGAGGAGGACTCCCTTGAATGAGGTCACCAAGACTGGCTTATATTTGCTGCGGTCTGGGGCTGAAACCTGAGCCCTACTGCTAAAGGTGAATCCAAAGCTTGAGGGCTTCAGCCTTGGGTAGAAGGGCTCAAGTTGCAGGCCTTCTGCCTGGGGCAAAAGCCCTTGAGCTTCAGCTTTGGCCCCCTGCCCAGAGTGGTGGGACTTGGATGGGCTCAGACTTTGGTTCTCCCTCATGGGGTCATAAAAGTAATTTTTGGTGTCAGAAAGGGCCGCGGTGCTATGAAGCTTAAGAACCCCTGCACTAGAAAAAAGGTTAAATTAGGTCAAGGAGAACCAGCGTGTGCTATACTTAGCCACTTCTAATCAAGACAAACCTTTAAGAATATTGATAAAAACAATACTGAAAATAAATTAGCAAGTATTCTGACATAGAGAATAAGTGCTAGCAAGCAGCATTGATATAAATAGTAGCCCAGTATCTGAGTCTGTAACGCCAGAATGCTGGCTGTTCCCTCTGCGAGGTACTGTTGCTGAAATGCTGGCTGTTCCCTCTGGGCGGCCCATACTACATGGGGAGTGCGGGGCCCAAATGGCCGCTTGCGCTGCTTGCTCCCCTGTGGCGGCCCGGCTGAGCGGCGCAGAAGTCAGCTGAGTGCCATGGCGGGAGGGGAACAGGGCGGGGCAGTGATGTGCGGCATGACAGCGGTTCCAGGCCCCACCCCTTGGCTGTGAACGTCACCGCCCTGCCTCCCTTCGCTTACCGCCGTGGTGCTCGGCTTACTTCTGTACCGCTCAGCCAGGCCGCTGCGTGGGAGCAAGTGGCGCAAGTGACCATTTGGGCTCCGCGCTCCCCATGCAGCATGGGGAGCGTGGAGCCCAAACAGCCGTTTGGGCTCCGTGGTCCCCCAAGTGAGAGGCAGGAGGGGGTGGAGAAGAGAAAGAGAGAGTCAGAGAGAGAGGCAGGGACAGCTCAGGAGAGAAGACTGATGTGGAGGAGGGACCTGAATATCCCGTCTTATGATGGGCTGATTGGCTAGTTACTTAATATGAGAGCACCTGCAATTAAGGATGTTAAAAAGCTAATCGTACACTCAATACAGCTTGTATCAACTATCTGATTAGTTGATACAACTGCTCTGCAGAGCCGCAGCGGGGGTAGCTCCAGGAGCTAGCTCAAGCTGGGACTGAGCAGTTCATGCTCTGTATCAGTGATAGATAAATATGGACAGCTGTCTGCTCCTCCCTTCCTTCCTCGGTAACAGTTATTTACACTGGGTTTGATAATAAAACAGAAGTATTTTTATTTAGTATAAAATGTAGGTTTTAAGTGAGAACAGACAGATCAAAGCAAGTTACTAATTTAAAATTAGCACTAATCTAAAATGAGCCTAATACACTAAGACTACATCTATACTGCAGTGCTATTTCTGGATACCAGTGGTATCCTGAAATAACTATTCCACGTCTTTTGAGCATGCCCATTATTTCTCAATATAATGGGCTCGCTCGTCTGATGTCCTCGTAAACCTCATTCCACTAGGAGTCAGGGACATTATGAAATAATGATTTATTTCAAAATAAGTGTTGGGTAGACAGCGCCAAGTGTTGGGTAGACAGCGCCAGATTTTGAAATAAGCTATTTCAAAATTGACTTGAAATAAGCTACGCAATTTGTGTAGTTCAAATTGCATAGCTTATTTCGAGCTACGGGTGCAGTATAGACGCACCCTAAGAGAGAATTTTACAAATCATATTTCTCACCCCCACTCCAGTCTTAATTTCAGGTAAAATCCTTCAAGTCAGAACTGATCTTTTCTCTAGCCTGGGTCAGAAAGCTACTCGTAAGGTGAGGAGGCAGTTTCAAAAGCCACAGACATTGATTGGGGAAATTTTATTTAAGGGACGGTAAACAGAGTAGGCAGTCTTGTTCCATTCTCCCCCATCCCAATGGATAAATATGAAATTCAAGCACCAGGTGTCATGGTCACAGATCTTTGTAGGGCCAACCACAGTTTAAGCAAAAGTCGTTTACAGATTATTGCTTTGAGCACTGGGCCATTAAGTTCCTTTAATGCCACTAATTACTTTCACTAGAAATTCTAGATTAATAAGCATGTTTACCCTTCATATTTTACCTTTACTTATAAGTATGATACATGCACACAAATAGAATATACACATTTAAGGGATTACAGATTCTTGAATGATAGGTTACTTGCCCTGTTTTGCATGAAGTATATTCAAGTTATGCATATTCAAAAACATATTTCCATAAAAATATGGAGGAGTAGCATCACACCAGGTCCCAGCCTAGAGCCTTCACCCTTCCACAAAGCCAACCTCATCTCAACCTGCATCTCCCTCCCACAATCTGAAGTCCTCAGGCTCCACACCCCAAAACCCTCAATCCTTCTTTCTGGTCCACCCCAGATCCTGCACCCCCTTAGAGTGCTCACCCCCTCTTATACTCCAATCCTCTGCCACAGCCCAGTGAAAGTGAGTGAGGGTGGAGAGCCAGACGTTGAGGAATGGGAATGTGGTGAGTGGGGGCAGGGCTTCAGGGAAGGAGTGGGGCCTTGGGGAAGGGATAGGGCTAAGGTGTTTGGTTTTGTGTGATTAGAAAGTTAGCAAAGTCTGCATCCTTTATTTAAAAAGATGCAATATCATCTTCTGCAGCAATAGAATGGCACATACTTAGGTATGTCTGCAACAACACTGGAAAGTTAAAGAAATTGTGACCTGGCTTGATCCTCCTTACTTCCAGAAGCTAGCTAATACTGGGCCTGCTATTAAATCATCATCATTTCACCATCTGTTTCTCCATAGACGTAGATTGTTCGAGAAAAGTCCTAGTGTGCCTCTGCCTGTCTTTTAAAGTTACAATTTCAGATAATAAGTCTGAAGTATGTTTGGAGTAACACGTGCAAATAAACATCTGCCCTCACATTTATGTGAATGGGCGATCATACTAAACATTTGTGTGTTCCATCCAATAGGCAGTAGACACTCAATAAGCACTTCCCATGTTAGCATCATTCTGTTTATTCTGAGATTATGTAACAGGATGGACTTTCAGTGTAGTTCTTCAGTGTGTCCTGGACTAGGGATGTGAAGGATTAGTCTATCAGAAAGAGGCAGCAAGGGGTGGGGAAAGAGGAGGGGATACTTTGAAAGTGGCAGTGGCGTGTGGAGCGCTGTTGCTTTTAACGCCATATACAGCCCAGGGCTAGCTGGGGGTATCCCCAGGCTACAGGTCATGTTTCAAAGTGGCAGTGCCACATGGAGCCCAGGGTCATTGGGGAGGTCCCAGCTGCCGCTTTGAAATGCTGTGAGGAGCCTGACACCAGGTTCCCCACTAGCATTTCAAAGCAGCAGCACTGCACAGAGCCCAGGATCAATGGGGGAGTTCCCAGCTGACCCTGGGCTCCACTCAGTGCTTTCGCCTTTGAAGTATAGCAACAGCCCTAGGGCTATTGCTGCTTTTCAGAGTCAGAAGTGCCCTATTGACTAATTGAATAGTCAATGCAAAATGCATCGACTATTTGAGTCAGTTACTCGCAATTCAACATCGCTATCCTGGACACAGTGAACTAAGCGGCATTTGAGGTTCCCACTACTTTCACCCAGCAGAAATAGGATGTTACGGTTGGGACTCTGGTAAAAGATAGGCAGACCCAAAGCAAAACAAATACTTAGCTTTGAATCAGTAATGGTTTTAAATTCAAGTATTTGTGCAGTGCTCAAGAAATAATTAGTAGATTAAAGGATTATTGCATCAAGATTCTTCATAAAACCTAATTAAGATATTTTACAAGTAGCATCTTACAGAAACAAGGAAGATGTGGCCCACCTTTTCTCTTTCCAACTGAAGACTAGGTATTAGTTAGTAAGCAGTTAAATCTCATAATGCTGAACTACACTAGAAGCAGTCTATGCCTATGGGAGAGAGCTCAAGCTGTCCTGTCAGTGTAATGAAACCACATCCACGAGAGTGGAAGCTGTGTTAGCAGGAGAAGTTCTTCTACCAGCATAGCACCAATGTAGACTGTACTTAGGGCAGTGTAACTTACATTGTCCGGGAGAGTGGTTTATTGACACTCAAGAGACATAAGTTATACTAACATGTGCACAAGCCTACAATTAAAGCAGGAGCTTTTCTGTCAGTCAGTCAGTCATAAGCATCTTCAATGCAAAAAAGCCAACTGCGAACCAGATTATACAGCAGTCACTAAGTAATCACTATTTTAAATACAATCCCTTTTGCATCCTGTTGTAGCTGTGAGGTTATTTAAGATGTTACAGTTGCTTCCCAAGCTATAACAGAACCAATGTGAGATAAAGTCTCCTAAGAGCCAGCAATATACCTACTCTATAAAGTCAATTGAAAATTTTCCCTGACCAAATTCTGAGTACATGCTACTCCAGAGACATCATTCTGCCTTTGTGGGTGTTTTTTTTTTTTTTTTTTTTTGCCAGACATCAGCTGGGGTGCAAGTGTAAAGGGAGCTACTTAAGGTAACCATGCTACTGTATGCAACTCTGCGGAGAGGACATGACCTACAACTGATACACAGAGGTCCATGAATTTCCCTGCAAATCTGAGGACATTCATGGTGATGGAGGGCTGTGCCATCCACTTCTTTTGTGGGCTTTCAGGTTTCTTCCATGAGAGGGCATGTTGAGACAGACATTGAAGGCTTCAAATCTTGTGGAGTTTTCTTCTTAAATTGTGGCCTTCTGTGGTTTTTAAACTCTGTGTGTGTCTAGACTACAGGTTTTTTTTGTGTCTAGTGTTTATATGGGCTCAGAGCATTTCAGGCATGTATGGATACTGGATGAGATGTACTATTATTACCATTAGTGAACCTTTCCCCCAGATACATGCCAACAGCTGGGTTATCAGATTACTTGATTACATAATCTTTTAGATACCTTCTGTTTTCTTAGTCACATGCTTTTGCTTTGAACTGCCAAAGAAGACTAGATAACTTTTTATATACAGGTAACAATCAGATATGTTTTTGACTAAGTATCTAACATTGCCATTACACATTTAAAAACTACATGTTAACTTTCATAGAAAAA